TAGGGTTTAGTGCTTGGGGTTGGGGTTTAGCGTCTAGGGTTTAGGGTTTAGGGCTTAGCCTTTAGGGGTTTAGGGTTTAGGGGCAAAGGCCTACGCCTTCAGGGTTGGGGATAGGAGTTTCTGGCTAGGGTTTACGGTTTTGGGGGTTTAGGGTTTAGGGTTTAGGGTTCAGGGTTTAGGGTGGAGAGGCGGTCCGGCAACGGGTAGAGTAGACAGACAACATGATGCTGCTGCTCTTGCTGCTGATGCCTCTGCTGCTGCTGCTTTTGCTGCTGGTGCTTTTGCTGCTGCTGCTGTTGCTGCAACCTCAGCTGTTGCTGCTTGTGCCAGCGTTACGCTGCTGCATCTCAGCAGCAAGTCTGTCTCCTCTGTCTTTACTTTTAGAGAGGCAGCAAACAGCAGGTGCATTAGCCTGTCTCTGCTGCTGCTACAGCTGCCTGTGCTGCTGCTGAAGCTGCCTCTGCTGCTGCTGATGCTGTCTCTTGTGCTGCTAGAGGTATCTCTGCTGCTGTACGAGCTGTCTCTGCTGCTGTACGAGCTGTCTCTGCTGCTGCTGAGTCCGCGTCTGCCCCTGCTAAAGTTGCTGCGGCTGAAGTTGTCTCTGCTGCTGCTGCTAGTCCAGGCTGTCTTTTCTGCTGCTAGTGCTATACTGCTGCAGCAGCTGCTGCTTCAATCTATTGCTGTTGTTTCTGCTGGCAGACTACCCTTGCTGCTGCACGAGTTGTCTCTGCTGCTGCTAGGCCCATTTGCTGCTGCTAACTTAGTTGCTGCTGCCGAAGTTGTCTATGCGGCTGCTGTTGCTGCTGCTGCTGCTGTACAATCTGTGCTATAGAGCAGCAGCAACAGCAGCAGCTACTGCTGCTGGAGGAGACAACAAGACAAGAAACGCATGCACACCGCCCGCCACCGTTCGCGTTAAGGGTCCTGCCCTTTCTGTACTCTCCGAAACCCTAAACCCTAAACCCTAAAACCTATTGTTGCTGCTGTTGTTGCTTTTGCTGGTGCGTCTGCTGCTGCTACCTCTTCTGCTGTTGCTGTCGCTGCTGCTCAGGTGTACATGCAACAGCTCTTTATTGCCTTCTCTTGGTTGTAATACAAATCGAATAAGTGAAACAACAAGCAGCAGCAGCAGCCACAGCAGCAGCAACAGCAGCAACAGCAGCAACAGCAGCAGCAACAACAGCAGCAGCAGCAACAGCAGCAGCAGCAACACCAACAACAACAGCAACAGCAACGAGAACCGTAGGAGCAGCGGTGACGGAGGCAGCAGAAACAGCATCAATTTTCTCGTTGCTGCTCTTGCTGCTGCCGCTGTTGCTGTGGCAGCTGTTGCAGCTGTTGCTGCTGCTTCTGCTGCTGCTGTTGCTGTCTCCTTCTTATCTCGCTGCACCGAACCTTATTTTCGTCTGTCTCCTTTCTATTCAGGGGTAGACAAACAACACTCAAATACATTATATTTTAGTTATACGCTGTAGATACCCCCAGCATTATTAATTATAGTCATAATAAATAATAATAATAATAATTATTATTTTATATATATTAAAACCCTCAACTCAGCAGCAGCAAACTGGGGGGAGGGGCTGCAGCCAGCCACGCGAGCACAGGGTCTCGGGGTCACCTGCAGCAGCAGCAGCAGCAGCAGCGGCAGCTGCTGCTGCTGCTGTAGCAGCAAAGGAGATAAATGCTAAATGTGGGATCGCTTTGAAGTGTACGGGAGGTGTTTTTGCTGCTGCAGTGTATGGACAGCTGCTGCACTGCTGCTGCTCTCCCTGCCCCTGAGGCTCAGGGCTTGCTAGCAGCAGCAGCAGCAGCAGCAACAGCAGCAGTAACAACAAACGACAGAAACGAAGTACAATTAGCTGGCAGCAAATAAAGGCAAACCGACAGCTCGAATGAGGCTGCAGAGTTCTCCTGTGGTGTACAGCAGTAACAACTTCGCTGCTGCAGCAACTCCTGCTGCTGCTGCTGCTGCTGCTGCCCGAGTCACTTTTGCCCTCATTTTTCTGCTGCTATGACAGCGCAGCAGATGAAGAGACGCAAACAACAAAACAAACAATAAAACAAGCAGCAAGACAGGCAGCAGAAGAGCAGCAGAAGGAAACAGATAAAGAAGCAGCACAAACAACAATCAAAGAAGCCGCAGCAAAATAAATAACCCCACAGGCAAACTTGAAAAGAAGATGCCGCCGCACTGCGGGGGCAATGGTAAGCAGCAGCAGCAGCAGCAGCAGCAGCAAACGCTGCTGCTGAAGCAGGAAACATAGCTGCTGCAGCAACAGCACACACGAAAAGCAAGAGATTGCAGCAGCAACAACTCTTAGAGGGCCCAGCAGCAGCAGCAGCAGCAGAAGCAGGAGCAGCAGCTGCGCACCGACAGCTGAGGGACACAACACCAAAGGGCTCCTTCCCCCAAATTTTTGTTACGTCCGCTGTTGCTGCTGTTGCTGCTGTTGCTGCTGCTGCTGCTGCATCAGGAGACAGAGACAGCAGGAGACAGCACAGCCCAATGGAGCAGAGCCTTAGGCGGGGCTTCAACCCTTCTCTCGCCGGAGGCGGGGAGGATGGTCCGCTCTCTATGCGACTTCCTCAAGGCAAGGGCCCTATAGACAGCTAGCTAGCTAGCTAGCTAGCTAGCTAGCCATCTGTCTCTCGTACCTATCGAGCTAGCTCTTCGTTTATTCGGTTTGTTGTCTAGTGAGCTGGATTTAAGTGTATGCGTATGTTTATGTAGCTAGCTAGCTGACCTTGTGAGGATGAGTGCAGCTACTCATGCAGCTAGCCATCTAGCTAGCTAGCTAGCTATCCAGCTACATAGACTGGCAGATGAAGCCATACGCAAGCCGGATAGCTAGTTAGAAAGCTGCTTAACTAGCTAGCTAGCGAGCCAGGTGACTGTCTAGCTAGCTATGCGTCATTGGATACTAGCGTAGGGACCAAGCCTAGCTAGCTAGCTAGCTAGCCGCCTAGCTAGCTGGGCAGCTGCCTAGCTAGCTAGCTGCCTAGCTAGCTAGGTAGTGTGCAAGCACTTTCCATACCTCATGATGAGGCGAATATAACAACTTATCGTGGGACCGTCGGCGCCTCCGTTGCTGCTGCTGTTGCTGTTGCTGCTGCTGCTGCAGCTGTTGCTGTTGCTGCTGCTGCTGTTGTCTGCTTAGGCTGACAAGCTTCTGGGGGCGGTTGAGGAGACAGAGTTTAATTCCTTTGTAGAGTGTCTCTACCGCAGGATGCTGCTGCGCGCTGCAGCAGTGCGCAGCAACTCTGTCACCACCTGCAAAGTCTGCTGCTTGGCCCTGTCGGAGCAGCAGCAGCAGCAGCAGCAACAGCAGCAGCAGCAGGAAGGAGAGACAGAGCAGCAGCAGGATTCAGAAGGGCCTTTTGCTCCCTTTCTCAAGAATAGACAAACCCTGTGGCTTGACATAGCACCTCCTCCCACCCCATTCCTTAGCAGCAGCAGCAGCAGCAGCAGTAGCAGCAGCAGCAGCAGCAGCGTGGCTGCTGAGGAGGCAGCCTCTCTGCGACTGCTGCTGCTGCGGCTCACCCTCTCAAAGATGCTGCAGCAGGAAGATCTGCAGCACTTCCGTCCCTGGTATCATCGCTTAGTTGCTGCTGCAAAGGCAGACGCATGGAAACAGGTGCAGCAGCAGCAGCAGCAGCAGCGCAGGAGACAGCAGCTGCTGCTGCGCCTGAAGGAGGAGCAGCAGCAGCAACGCAGAAAGAGACAGCTCCTGCTGCACCCGCCAAGCCCTCCACCCCACAAGCACTGCCATCAGCACAGGCAGCAGCAGCAGCTGCTGCGGCAGCAGCAGCAGCAACGGCAGCCCAGGCGCCGCACCAACGGCAGCAAAAGTGAACAGTCTGCTGACGCCTCTTTTGCTGCTGGAGGGTCTCCTTCTATCTGCTGGCGAGATTCTGTCTCTTCAAACGCATGTGTGTGGTTTGCTGCTGCTGCTGCTGCTGTTACTCCTGCTGCTGCTGCTACTGCTTTTGTTGTTGCTGTTGTTGCTGCTGCTGCATATGCAGTAGTACGCTGGCTGCTGTTGCTCCCGCGGTTGCTGCGGCGGCGAAGCATGCATCATCCTGCTGCTGCTGCTGCTCCTGCTGCTGCCGCTTCTGCTGCCTGTGTTCTCTTGCAGCATCGCCGTCGACCTCACCAAGAAGGCCTCAAGATGCAGCAGCAGATGGGCGTGACCAGCAGCAGCAGCAGCAGCAGCAGCAGGATCCGGACAGTGGAGCAGCAGCAGTTCCTGCAGAAGCAGTAGCAGCAGCGGCAGCAGCAGCAGAACCTACAGCAGCAGCTGCTGCTGCTGGAGGTAGTAAAGAAGGCGCACTAGAATCTGCTGCCTCCCCGGAGGCAATAGAAGCTCCTGCTGCAGCAGAAACATCTGCTGCTCCTGCTGCTGCTGCTGCTGCTGCTGGTGCAGCACGGGAAGGCAATAAGGGTGAGAAGAGCAGCAGGAGCAGCGGCCTCTTTTCTTGCTGCGCATACCCCAGCAGCTGCCCTGCTGCAGCAGCAAGACGAGTCACCACGTCTCTCAAGCGCAGCGCCTGCGTCTCCTCCAGACAGCTGCTGCCGTTAAGGCTTGGTGCTGCTGCTGCTGCCGCTGCTGCTGCTGCCCCTGCTGCTGCTGTCAGCGCTGGAGCTGGAGATGCGCAGCAGCAGCAACCGCAGCAGCAACTGCAGCAGCAGCAGCGGCATACTCATCAAGACCCAGATAAAACCCCAGAGGCAACGGGACACGACAGCCAACAGCAGCAGCAGCAACAACAGCAACAGCAGCAGCAAGAGGAGGCAGCGGCAAACTCCCCGCCTATCCACGATGTTGTTTCTGCTGCTGGAGGCTGCGAAGAAGCAGCAGCAGCAGGAAGAACAGCAGCAGCAGGAGAAGCTGTCGAGGAAACAGGCGAACCAGCAGCAGCAGCAGCAGCAGCAGCAGCCGAAGGGACGTCAGCAGCAGCAGCACTACTAGAGCGCATGCAAGCAGCAATAAGGGAGCACTGGGACGGCAATAGAAACCCCTTCTCTATTTCTTTAACAACGCCTCTCGGCAGCACCACCCCGACCATTCGCACGCTGCAGCCGGAGCAGCTGCTGCTGCTGCAGCAGCAGCAGCAGCAGCAACCTGTCGCAAGCTTTAAGACCATCGCGGTGAGGCACGAAAAAGAAACCTGCCTTTTAAGTGGCTGCAACAACAGCAGCGGCAAAAACTGCAGCAGCAGCAAGAACAGCAGCAGCAACAAGACAAGCAGCAGCAAAAACAATGGCAGCACAGCTGCAGCAAGTGCAGCAGCACCAACAACCCAGAGAGATCATCACGATGCTAATTTCTGTTTTTTTGTTGTTGCTGCTGCTGCTATTGGTGTTGATGTTCCTGTCGTTGCTGTTACTGCTGCTGTTGCTGTTTTTGCTGTTGCTGCTGTTGCTCGTGCTCCTGCTGCTGTTGCTGCTGCTGCTGCTGCTGCCATCGTTGCTGCTGTTGCTGCTGCTGCTGCAGACACTTGAGGAGCAACACCGGATTAAAGCTGCCCAAGCGGCGCAGGTGAAAGGCTGCTGTTTAGTCTCTTGTTGCTGCTGGTGCTGCTGGTGGTGCTGTTGTTGCTGCTGTTGCTGCTGGTGGTGCTGTTGTTGCTGCTGCTGCTGGTGCTGCTGCTGCTGGTGCTGCTGCTGCTGGTGCTGCTGCTGCTGGTGCTGCTGCTGCTAGTTAAGCCGGTGCTGCAACAACCCGGACACTAACCAGTGACTGCGGCTGCTACTGCTACCGCTGCTGCCGATACTGCCACACCTGCTGCCCCTATTCCCGCTGTTGCTGCTGCTGCTGCTGCATGAGCAGCAACAGCAGTAGAGGTGCTAACGCAGCCTGAACTCCTCTCCTCCTGTGGTTGATTGTGCACAACCATGAAACAGCTAGTAGGCATCCAGACAAGCAGCTAGCTAGCTAGCTAGCTAGCCAGGTAGCTGCCCAACTAGCTAGCTAGCTACTCGACTAGCTAGCCGGGCCAATTACACAGCTAGCTAGCTAGCTAGCTAGCTAGCTGACGGCATAGAAGAAAGAAGCTGTAGGGTGGGGAGTTAAGAACGAGGCATTTCTTTTATTGCAATGTGAAGCAACATACCCACTCTCCTCCTGCTGCTGCTACTGCTATTGCTGCTGCTTCTGTTGCTGCTGCTGCTGCTGCTGCTGCCGCTGCTGCTGCTGCTGCTTCAGCTGGAGCGGCAGTGTGCGATTCAGGCGTATCACGAAAGGAAGCTGAGGCAGCAAATAGAGGCAGTGAAGCTGGCCTTGGAGAGAGAGCAGCAAAACTACAGTTTGCTGCTGCTGCGGGAGAAGAGACGCGTACACAGGATGCAGCTGCTGCGGCAGCAGCTCGCTACGTATAGAGAAAAGCAACAAAACAAGCTCATACGCAGCAGCAGCAGCAGCAACACCAGCAGCAGCAGCAGCAACGTGCACAAGCGCGCCGTCCCCAAGTGAAGTTGGAGCAGCAGCAGCAGCAGAAGCAGCAGGAGCTGCTGCTGGAGACAAACTACAATATATATGCAACATCAACTGCATTAACAGCAGCAGCAGCAGCAGCAGCAGAAGTTTTGTGCTCAATTAAGACACGCATCTCAAGTGCAGCAGCAGCTGCATGCAGGCGTCTCCTTCGGGCTAATGGAGGAGAGGAGACACCTGAAAGAAGCAGAGACAGCTGCTGCCTGCTGCTGCTGCTGCTGCAGCTGCATGCATTTGCTAGGCGTGAAAGCAACCCCACATTATAAACTCTTTTTCGCTTGCTAAATATATATATATATATACAGATGCGTATATACACACACTATATATATTTATATATACCTGTATATATATATATATATATATATATAGATGCATATATACACACTATATATATATACATATATATATATATATACATATCTGTGCATATATATATATATATATATGCATATATGTAATAATAAACATATTAACCTATAATATATATATATATATAATGATAATAACAAAGGCTGACTAAGGGGATTTGGCTGATGCACGCGTCATCCAAACAAACGCACAAAACTTTTTTACTTATAATAATTATTTGTGTCTTCTTTGTGTCTATATACAACACATAATATATATATATATATATATATTATATAACATATATATATATATATGTATATATATTATATATATATATATTATGTTGTATATAGCAAAGGAATTGCGCACTATATATACATATATATGTATATATATACATATATACATATATGTGTATATATAGTGTTTATAGTGCGCAGTTCCTTTGCTGAGGTGGTCTTCATTTGGCAGCAGCAGCAGCAGCAGCTGCTGCTGCTGCTGCTGCTGCTGCTGCTACTGCAGTGCAGTGCTCTCCCCCTCAGGTAAAACAAATAAATAAAAGACAAAACAAAACAAAATAAGTTTAAAGTAAAAAGAGAAAAATGCTGCAGCGCCGGAGTAGCCGTGAGGTATCCGCAGCAAGAGCTGCAGCAGCGCAGCAGCAGCAGTAGCTGCTGCTGCTGCTTGGAACTACAGAAGCAGCAGCAGTTCCTGCTGCTTGGAGACGCAGCAGCAGCAGCAACATACTGCTGCTGCTGCTCACTGCTGCGATGCTTCTGCCAATGGGTGCAGAAGGAAGCAGCAGCAAAAGCAGCAGCAGCTGCTGCTGCAGCCGCTGCTGCTGCTGCTGAGCAGCGCATCGACTGCAGCGCTTAGCTGCTCTTGCTGCTGCTGTTGCTACTGTTGCTGCTGCTGCTGTTGTTACAGCGGCTGCATCTGCTTATCTGCAGCAGCAATTCTACTGGGTTATGCTTTGAGCGAGGCAGCAAAACATAGTTCAGGTGTACGTACACCTCACACCTTAGTACAAACAGAAAAAAACCTGTTGCTACAGATTGCTGCAGCAGCAACATTGCTGCAGCAGCAACACGGAAGACAGCAGTAGTGTTGGGCCCTATACTACGCGCTACCCGCAAGACTGCTGCTGCTGCTGCTGCTGCTGCTGCTGCTGCTGGGGGAAGTTTTGCTGCTGAGTCGAGCGCGCACAAGGGTCTCCAGCAGGGGGTCATGGTGCTGCAGGCGGGCGAGGCTGTGTTGCAGTGTCTGCGCAGCAACAGCAGCAGCAACAGCAGCAGCAGCAACAGCAACAGGAGAAGAAGGATGGGTTAAGCTGCAAAGACTCGAGGCAGCAGCAAGGAGACAGCTGTCTCCTTTTGCCTCCTCACCTTCAGTTCTTCATCAGTATAATAAACAGACGCTAAACTCTCGCTTACACACCGCAGCAGTCGTCGGTGGGCATACCCAAACCTGCAGCAGCAGCAGCAGCAGCAGCAGCAGCAAAGGCAGCAGCAGCACCAGACGCAGGAGCAGTAGACGCAGCATTAGCAGCAGCAGCATTAGATGCAGCAGCACCATCAGGCGCATCACAAGAGCATCAGATGCAGCAGCAGAAGCAACAGCAGCAGCAGCAACAGCAGCAGCAGCAGCAGAAGCAGCAGCAAGGCATTTATGAAGCATACAGACAGCAATGTGTTTATAGGTGGGGTTGCTGCTGCGCGCTTACGTAGCATAGGCCTTCACTGCTTTAGTAATAAGGGCCCCTGGGGAGACAATCTGTTTGCTTCTGCTGCTGCTGCTGCTGCTGCTGTTGGCCTGCTGCATTTGCTGCAGGTGTTGCTGCCGCTGCTGCAGCAGCAGCAGATGCGTGGGGTGTCTCTGCAGCAGGACACACAAGTGTGGGGCTGCTGCTTCGAAGAGACTCTGATGAGCGACACCGCAGCGAGCAAAGGCAGCCAGAAGATGCGCCCAAGACACGAAATTAAAATAAGCAGCAGCAGGCACTTGTGCTGCTGCTGCTGCTGCTGCTGCTGGAGCTGCTGCTGGAGCTGCTGCTGCTTTTGCTTCTCCGCCTCTAGGCTGGCGTGCTTCTGCTGCAGCAGCAGAGACAGCAGCTTGCAGCTTAGGCGGCAGAGCAAAGAAGCTGCTGCTGCAGCTGGAGCCGCCAGCAGCAGCAGCAGCACCAAATGAACCTGCTGCTGCTGCAGGAGCTGCTGCTGCTGCATCTGCGCAGTAGTCTGCTGCTGCTAGCATGAAGGCGACCGACGGTGCTGCAGCGGGCCCCACAGCAGCAGCAGCAGCAGCAAAGGAGCAGCAGAGAACAGAGAGATGCTGCAGCGAGAACTCATGCAGATGTAGGTGTGCTGCTCTTTCTGCTGCAGCAAACAACCCCACACGATACACTCGAATTTGTTTAAAGCTGTTGATGAGGACAGACAAGGAGAGGCCTATCATTCGGGTGTCTACGCACCACCCTCCTGCTGCTGCTGCTGCTGCTGCTGCTGATCCTCTTGATGCTGCTGCTGCAGCAGCTGCTTCTGAGACCTGCTGCTGCCTCCGCCTTACTACCGACAGCATCTCCTCTGCATCGCTGCCGCGACAAACCGGCAGTCGTCTGCTGCTGCTGCTGCTGCTGCTGCTGCTGCTGTGGGGGAGTTCTGTGTGCTGTCCTGCAGCAACTGCCTGCAGCAGCTCTTCTGCTGCAGCACCCAAGCCACGCCAGTAAGCAGCATCATGAAGCTGCCGCAGCAGCGCAGCACGTGCAGCAGCAGCAGCAGCAGCAAGATCACACTGCGGCTCGACGAAACCACGAGGGGCAGACGCTGCACCACTTGCTGCTGCTACTGCTGCAGATGTCGTTCTTGCTGCTGCTGCTGCTGCAGCGTATCTGCGGTGCTGCCCACCCCACAAGTACTTTCTAAGTGTCTCTGCAGGGGGAGACAGCTGATAGAGGCAGGCGTCTGAATTCAAGAGATGCCGCAGCAGCCCTCGAGCTGCCGATACACCTGAACTCTCTGCTGCTGCAGGAACTGTCGTTGTTATTGCTGCTGTTGCTGCAGGAAGAGTTGCTGCTGTTGCTGCTGCTGCTGCTGCTGAGCCTGGGGCAGCCCAGCCGGGTGGGGCAAGAACACCAGCAGCCGCTGCCGCAGCAGGAGGCCCTACCGCACGACGCCATCTTCCTGCAGCAACAGCAGCAGCAGCAGCAGCAGCTCCTGCTGCTGCTGCTGCACCGGCCATCCTCAGCAACCCATTGAGGGAGAGACTGAGAGACACTGCATTTGCTACTGCAGCTTCAAGCTGCTGCTGTTGCTACACCAGAGCTTACTTCAGAGCAGCAGCAACAGCAGCAGCAGCAGTAGCAGCAGGTCTGGACTGGCCAGCAGATGGGGCCCCCGGTGTATCGGCAGCCCGTGGAAGCTGCCTATACACCTGAAATAGCGCTTTGCTGCTGCGTTTTGAGTTTAAAACTCCTTAATTAATGCGATGTGTAAGAAGCCCCAGCTTCAGCTGCAAGCAGACCCACTGTGGTCTCCGCAGCAGCAGCAGCAGCTGCTGCTGCTGCTGCTGCAGTGCTGCAGCAGCAGCGGGGGCCCCCTGATGGTCGATCTCCCATAGGTGGAGTAGCAGTAAGAGGGGTTTAAATATTCTTTTTGTTTGTCTTTGTTGTTTTAAGTGTTTGTTCTCTACTTTGCTTCTTCATTTCAAGCTGTAGAGTAGCAGCAGCAGCAGCAATAGCGGCAGCAGCAGCAGCAGCAGCGGCAGCGGCCCCGCAGCAGTAGTTGCAGAGTCCTTAATATCTCCTATACGTCTGCCCTGCTGTACTAGCAGCAGCAGCAGCAGCATAAGCAGCAGCAGCAGCAGCAGATACAGCAGATTTTTCTTCATTTCAATCCTTTAGGGGCCCTCTTGCCTTGCTGCACCTACGTTGCCTCAGCATCGGGGTAGCAGCTGCTGCTTCACTGCAGCAGCAGCAGCAGCAGCAACAGCTAGCGTAACAGCAGAAAGAGCAACAGCAGCAGCAGGAACGACGCGGTGCTCCGTAGAGAGGATCTGAGACCAGCAGCAGCAGCAGCAGCAGCAGCAACAGCAGCAGCAGCAACAGCAACACGATCCCGATCCCTTATCTCTCCTCCCCCCCATTCTCCTTCTCCTTATCATCATCATCATAATAATCAGCAGCAGCATCATTACCACCATCATCATCATCAGCATCAGAAGCAGCAGCAGCATCAGCAGCAGCAGCAACAGCAGCAACAGCAGCAACAGCAGCAGCAGCAGCAGCAAAGATGGCGTCCCCTTTGATTCCAGCGGAGGTATGTGAACTGGCGAGGGTTGAGCGAGTAGCTGCACACTCGCATATCAGGGGTTTAGGGTTATCCGATGCTTTAAACCCTAAGCCCAATTCTCAGGGTATGGTCGGACAAACAAAAGCAAGAAAAGCTGCTGGTAAGGCTTTCTAATTCTTTTTCTTTGCTCTCTTTGTTTTTTTTAGTTTGTTTGGTTTATCCTATCAAAGTAAATTAATCATTTAATTAATTAAGAACTCAAATTATATTAATTAAATTTAATTAATTTAATTATATCGATTTAACTTAATTAAATTAAGCAAACTACTATTTAATTAAATTCAATTAAAACAATTCAACTTAATTAATTAAATTAAATTAAAACAATTTAACTTAATTAACTTAATTAAATGAGTTAAATTAACTCAATTTAACTTAATTAAATTAATTAAATTAATTTAATTAACTCAATTTAACTTAATTAAATAAATTAAATTAAATAAATTTAACTTAATTAGATTAATTAAATAAATTAAATTAAATAAATTTAACTTAATAAACTTAATTTAATTAAATAAATTTAACTTAATTAAACAAATTAAATTAAATAAATTTAATTGATGTCTTTGTTTGTTCATAGGTTTAATCTGCCGATTAATTCGAGCAGGCCGAATTGCAGGCCGCGCGGTTTTGCTGGCGGGGCAACCGGGCACAGGAAAAACTGCAATAGCGATGGCGATTGCTAAAGAATTAGGACAAGTCAGGGTTTAGGGTTTAGGGTTTAGGGTTTAGGGTTTATTTGGGGCTTAGGATTTAGGGTTTACGGGTTTGAAGGGGGGGTTTAGGGGTTTACAGAGAGGGTTTGAGGTGTAGGGATGAAAAACCTGCAATAGCAATGGCTATTTATAAAGAATTAGGACACGTCAGGGTTTAGGGCTTAGGGTTTATTCAGAGTGTAGGGTTTAGGGTTTAGGGTTTAGGGCTTATGGTTCAAGGTTTGGGCTCAAGACCTCCGCGAAATGAAGATTTAGGATTTGGGGTATATATCGGTGTATGGTTGACGTCTTGTTTAGGGTTAATAAAGAAGTGAGGGCTACGGCTTAGGGTTTAGGGTTTAGGGTTTAGGGTTTAGGGTTTAGGGTTTGTGTGTTCAGGACACTCCGTTTACTCATTTATCAGGGTCTGAGATATTCAGTTTAGAAATGTGCAAGACGGAGGCCCTCACTCAGGCATTTAGACGGTCGATTGCTGTGCGCATCAAAGAAGAAGCAGAAATCATAGAAGGAGGTATGCATGCAGCCCCACAGCAGCACCAGCAGCAGCAGCAGCAGCAACAGCAGCAGCAAACGTTATTGTTGTTGCTGCTGCAGAAGCAGCAGCAGCAAAGGTTGCTGCAGCAGCAACAACCTTTAGCGAGCGTTGCTGCTGCTGCAGCAGCTTGCAGCCCCAAACATAATCACCAGCAGCAACAGCAAACGTTGCAGCAGCGGGAGCAGTAGAAACAGCAGGGGCAGCAGCAGCAAATGCAGCAGCAGTATCAGGAGCAGCAAACACTACCGCAGCAGCAGCAGCAGCAGCAAGAATTCCCGTAGCAGCCTTAATATGCAGTGTAGGGATACCGCACAACCCCCTGAATCAAACCACGCCCATCGCAAGGGTTTAGGGTTTAGGGTTTAGGGTTTAGGGTTTGTTTGTGCTGCAGAGGTTGTTGAAATAGAAATAGATCAGCCTACAGGAGCAGGTGCAGCGCGTACTGGAAGGATGTCTCTAAAAACAACAGAGATGGAGACACTCTACGACTTGGGCTCCAAACTCATCGGTTAGACGCCGAACCACATGGCTAGCTAGCTAGCTAGATAGCTAGCTAGCTAGATAGCTAGCTAGGTAGATAACTAGCTAGCTATCTAGCTACATAGCTAGATAACTAGCTAGATATATATTTGCATAGCTATATGTGATATATATGTATGCATATATATATACATGTATATATATATATATACACATGTATGTATGCATTTTATCTCTCTCTCTCTCATATATATATATATATATATATACATATATATATATATCAAGGTAGCTCTATATACATGCATGTATCTAGCTGCATCTAAATATACATATATGTAAATAGATTAATTAATTAATTAATTAATTAATTAATTAATTAATTAATGTACGTATGTTTGCATTTGTCTGAATTGGGTGTATATTGAATTAGTCTTTAATATGTTTTTATTTGTGTTTTTCTCTCTTATTTTAATTACTTTCTTTATAGATGCACTTGCTAAAGAAGGCGTAACTGCAGGAGATGTTATTTCTATCGACAAAGCCAGCGGGAAAATAACAAAAATTGGGCGGGGCTTCAGCAGAGCCAAAGACTTCGATGCTGTCGGCCCGACTACTCGATTTGTGCAGGTAATTTATTAACTAATTAATTAATTTTATTAATTTAATTAATTAATTAATTAATTAATTATTTAGTTTATTTTGTGTATTAATTAATTAATTAATTAATTAATTTCCTGCATCAACTACTTAATTAATTATTTAACTAATTAATTAATAAATTAATTCGTTAATTAATTAATTAATTAATTGGTTCATTTTGTGTATTAACTAATTAATTAATTAACTAATTAAATGCATATATATAGTATGCACAATAAATAAAACGAAACGGTGTTTAGATAGCGAAAACGTTTGTTATTATGCATATGCATTTATTTATTTATTTATTTATTTATTTAGTTATTTAAATGCATATGTATAATATGAAAGCAGATTAATATATAAATGCAGAATAATGATACATAAAATAAATATATAGATGCATCGAAATAAAATAAATAAATGCATGCAAGTGATATTGCATGCAACTGCATGCATACTGGGTTTAGGGTTTAGGGTTTAGGGTTTAGGGTTTATTTGTTTTTGTTTTCAGTGTCCTGAGGGAGAGTTGCAGAAGAGAAAGGAAGTTGTGCATACAGTCACTCTGCATGATATCGATGTAATAAACAGCAGGTTCGCTTCTCGTTGGTTTAGGGTTTAGGGTTTAGGGTTTAGGGTTTAGGGTTTAGGGTTGTTGGTTTAGTTCTGTCTCTCCGTCTGTCTCCTTTTGTGTGTCTCTCTGTCCTCTTTCACGTGTCTGTTTGTATCCTTTTAGGTATATCTTTAGCTCGTCTGTTACAATATCATTATATTGTTTGTCTTTATGTCTTTAGTTTGTTTGAAGTGTCTCCGTCTGTCTCCTTTGCATGCAGAGCTCAAGGCTTCCTCGCTCTCTTTGCAGGAGACACGGGTGAGATTAAGTCAGAGGTTCGCGAGCAAATTGACTCCAAAGTGGCGGAGTGGCGAGAAGAAGGAAAAGCAGAAATCATACCCGTATGCTCGAGAGTTTAGGGTTTAGGGTTTAGGGTTTAGGGTTTAGGGGGTAGGCTTTAGGGGGTAGGGCTTGTAAGGCCCAGCGTTTAGGGTTTAGGGTTTAGGATTTCGAAGTTAGGGTTTAGGGTTTAGGGTTTAGGGTTATGGTTTGGGGTTTGGAGGTTAGGGAAATCAATCATGTAAGGCCTATCGTTTAGGGCTGAGGGTTTAGGGTTTCGGGTTTAGGGTTAAGGGTTTAGGGTTGCTTAGGGTTCAGGGTTTAGGGTTTATGGTCCGTGGCAATGGCATAAGGTTTGGCAGTTGATGTCTAGGGTTTAGGGTTTAGATTTTAGGGTTTAGGGTTTAGGGTTTAGAAAGGTTTGAGATACCTCTTTTTTGTTTTCAGGGGGTTTTGTTCATTGACGAGGTTCATATGCTGGACATCGAGTGCTTCTCCTTCCTTAACAGGTACCTTCCTGCTGCTGCTATTGCTGCTGCTGCTGTTGCTGCTGCTGCTGCTGATACAGCTTGCGTTGCTGCTGCTGCTCGGCTAATGGGTACCGCTTGAGCTGTTGCTGCTGGAGGATCATGTCTCGCTTCTCTAGCATCAGCACTATCAGCACGTGCTACTGCAGCAGCATCAACAGCAGCAGACACTGCAGCAGCAGCAGCAGCATGCAGCACCACACAAGAAACACCAGCAGCAGCAGCAACCATAGCATCAGCAGCAACCATAGCATCACATAAGCATCAGCAGCATCAGCAGCAGCATACAATACAGCTGGATAAGCAGCATTAGCAGGAGGAGGAGGAGCAGCAGCAGCAGCAATTTGTTTGCATGCATGAATGTGCATTGATTTTGTTTAGGGCTTTAGAAAACGAGGCAGCCCCTATTGTTGTGATGGCGACAAACAGAGGTATAACAACAATCAGAGGCACAGATTATAAAGCCCCGCATGGGGTGCCCCTCGATCTCCTAGATCGCACTCTCATCATTGCAACTGAACCCTACTCAGAAGAAGAAATGATGAAGGTATTAATCATACTGCTGCTGCTGCTGCTGCTGCTGATGTTGCTGATGATGTTGCTGATGATGCTGCTGATGATTCTGCTGATGATGCTGTGGCTGCTGCTGATGCTGCGATGGCTGCTGCTGAGGTGGCTGCTGGGGAGGCGAACAAATAGCAGCAAGAAAGCTGCAGCAGCAGCATCAGCAGCACCAGTTTCAGAGGCAGGAGCAGTATTAGCAGCAGCAGTAGTATTAGTAGCAGCAGCAGCAGTAGCTACACCATCCGTCCTTATTAAATTAAATTAAATTAAATTAAATTAATTTATGCTGAGGTGTACAGATAAGAGAGCTGCGAGCAGACGACGCGTCTTTGCTGTATATATTTTGTGTTGTGTATATAACATATCTTTATTGAATATAATAAAATGTAAGCATAATAAAAATAAAATAAAATAAAATAAATAAATTATTGTTGGTGTGTACAGATAATAGAGTTGAGAGCAGAAGAAGAAGATGTATGTTTATCTACAGAAGCTCAGCAGCTTGTCTGCAGCATAGGGCTTCAAGTCTCTCTTCGCTACGCTCTTCATTTAATTACTGTTGCCAACTTGGTTGCAAAGAGGGCAAAGAAAGTTACAGTAGATGTTGATGATATTAGGAAGGTTTACAGCCTCTTCCTAGACGTGAAGAGAAGCACTCAGTACCTTGTTGTGAGTAAACACATTTGCTGCTGCTGCTGCTGCTGCTGTTGCTGCTGCTGCTGCTGCTGTTGTTACTGCTGTTGAGGCTGCTTCTGCTGTTGTTGTTGCTGCTGCTGATGGGGAAGATGCTGATGAGGATGATGATGTTGTTGATGCTGCTTCTCACTCTGCTGCTGCTGCTGGTGATGCTGCTGCTGCTGTTGAGCGTGCTGCTCGTGATGATGCTGCTGTGGTTGCTGAGTACTGCGCTGCTGCTGATGCTGCTGCCTTTGCTGCTGCTGCTGATAATGCTGGTGCTGCTGGGGGTGCAGAGGCTGCTGTTGATATTGTAATGCTGCTGCTGTCGCCTTGTTGCTTTTGCTGCTGCTGGCGTTGAAGAATTGGTGCTGGAGAACCAGCTACAGCAGCAGCAACAGCAGCAGAAGAAGCAACAGCAACAGCAGCAGCCCTGTTCATAGCTGCCTGTCTCTTTCTGTCTCTTTTATTAATGTTGCAGGAATACCAACGAGAGTTTATGTTCTCTGAGTTGAATGATGATGAGAAAGGAGAAAGTGCAATGAAAGAGACAACAGAAACTACAATCAAACCCTGACGCCAAACTAGAGAGCCCTTAGGGGCCCCTAAAAGATATTACTAATAGAGGGGCCCCCTGTTCTGGTACCCTCTTACGGGCCTGCATTAGGGTACCCTCTTGGGGGCCCCCTTGGCGGCCCCCTATGTTGATACACTCTTCTAGGGGCCCCAGGGGGGCCCCCGTCCTAGGGGCCTTCTACGTTGGGGGCCCCTCTCTTAGGGGCCCCTGTGTTGGTACCCTCTCTTGGAGGCCCTTTAGGATTGTACTCTTTCTTAGGGGCCCCCTATGTTGGTACCCTCACTTAGGGGCCCCCTGGAGGCCCCTCTCTAAGGGGCCCCCTATGTTGGTACCCTCACTTAGGGGCCCCCTGGGGGCCCCTTTCCTAGGGGCCCCCAGGGCCCCCTATGGCCCCGCCAAGGGCCCCAACTGAAATGGGTACACTTTGGGGGCCCCCCCATTTGTCCCCTTTTAGGGGCCCCCTCTTGGCGTTGGCTCTCTCTGTGGGAGGGGCCCCCTTTGGGGCCCCTTTGTACTTGTGTTTTTTTTCTTAAAAGCCCCAAACCCTACGCATGCATGCATGCAGAAAGTGTCTCCGAAGCAGACAATGCTGCCTCTGTGCAGATACGACAAATAGCTGAATAAGCCCCCAAAGAGTCTTATACAATATGCATATACATATATATATATATATATATATATATATACATGTATATATA